GGGCTAATTGGTGGATTGAAGAACGAAATAGGTAAATATGGCCCTCTTCCCGTACTCTTGGATTGGACTTTTCTGGAAACATTTTCCTTTTCCTAACATTATTCCCGTTTCCTTTTTCTGATTACACACGCACAATACGCACCGTCTCACCCTCTTTTTTTTTTTTAAATATTTCTGTCACAACCGAATTTACGATTATGCCCTTGATTTTTCTTTCTTATTTACGGAATTACCCGTCCCCGGTTCTACCCTTTTGGTAAAAAAAAAAAAAAATTAAAAATCTCACGTGAAAGAAAACCCACTCGTGAAATTTTGGGAGGGGGGTGAAAAATATATTTTATTTAAATATTAGTCGTATTTATTTATACCATTTAAATAATATAATCACCTATAAATATCGAATCAAACTCGAGTAAATTTTTTAGTTTTGATTTGTGTATTTTAATTCACATTTGTAAATAAAAAGGGTAAAATAAAAAAAATGTTTTGTTAATGGTAATTGGTAATTGGTAATTTTGAACGGTGAAAATTTGATGTTAATCATGTACATTATTGGTATTAAGTACAAAGTAAATTATTATTTAAGAGATATTATGAAATAATAGAATTAATTATAACAATTGAATGTTTTTGTAATGATAATTAATAACTTTTGAAGGTAAAAATATTATATTATTTTTTAAATTTTGATATTAATTATATTCGTTCGTACTATTAACTACAAAGTAAAATATTATTCAAAATATATATTATAAAATAATAAAAATGGCTTTTAATCGTAGTTTTTTACATTTTTAACAAGAAAAATGTTTTTGTAATGATAATTAATAACTTGGAAAGCGAATTTTTATAGTATTATATCATCGATTATATTCATTCGTACCGTTAATTATATATAAAATTTTATAAAATTTATATTCAATAAAATATCAGTAAGTTAAAAAAAAAATAAAAGTGAAAAGTAAAATTGCGATATATTTAATAATTTTTTTTTTTTTTAAGGGTGAAGAAAATGAAAGGGGTAGGGATAATAATCATGCGACCAATAATGGTAATTGAGTAATAAACCATCTTCTCTAGTCTTGCCGCTGTCTATTTCCATTAGTGGGTAATGTAGAGAGAGAAAGCTAAGTTCCCAAATCCATGTAAGAAATATATATATATATATATGTGTGTGTGTGTGTGTGTGTGTATATACAATGAGAGAGAGAGAGAGAGAGATTGCTTTTCGATTTGGTTAACGTGGGAAAGTAAGGTAAAGAAAGAGATGGTTCTTTCTTTCTCTCTTTGTATTTCCTTTTTCTTTTAAATGAAAAAACTCCATTTTTAACATCTAACAAGTCATGATTTTCGTCTCAGGAAAACCGCCAATGAGAATATAAAGAAGATAGATACAGTAAACCCTATAATAAGTATACAAGGAAAAAAAAAGATTACCCAGTAAAAAAATTTCTTAAAAGAAAAAACAAAAAAAAAACTCATGAATATTATGACAGGAGAATAATTTATAGTTTGCAAAAATTTATAATTTATTATAATAATTAAAAGTGAGTGGTTAGAGAGAGAAAGGGAGAAGGCATAATATGTAGAGAGAGGAAGAAGAAGTAAATAATAAGAAGGGAGTTGTGGATGCTTTCAGCTACTAGCTCAAACTGGCCTCGTCTATGCTGTATTGGGCAGAGTCTGTAATTCGTAGAGATCTTCAAAAACATCTCCTTTTTTTGCAATCTCTTTCCTTTAGTCGTAGGTTTTTTTTTTTTTTTTTTTTTTAATTTTATTTTCATTTTCTTTCTATTTGTATTTTCTTTTCCTTGTTTACTTTCTCTCATTTGAATACTCGACTTTGTCTTCACGAGGACTCTCTTTTTTCTTCTTGCATTCATTGAATGCCCGTAGAGGACGAGAGATCGAAGTAATTGTTTCTCCTCTCCGTTTGTTTGTTTCCCCAGAAAAAAATATTGGTTCTTTTGGGGAAAATTTTGTTAAAGCTATGGTTTTTAAATTGGGTATTTGAAGAGGGTATATCTATATAAATATTTTGAAGGTACAGCAAGAAAGAGAAATGTGGGATCTAAACGACTCGCCTGGTCAGACGAGAGACGATGAATCCGAGGAGGCTTGCTCTTCCCAGAAGACCTCCATAGACGGAGACGATGACAAGGGCAAACGGGTCGGATCTGTATCCAATTCCAGTTCGTCGGCTGTGGTAGTCGAGGACGGATCCGATGACGAAGACGGGAGTAAGATGATGGTGGCGAAGAAGCGAAGCGGTCGGATATTCGGGTTCTCGGTTCCGCAGGAGGAGTACTTGGAGGGTGACCCGCCAGTGACCCGACAGTTCTTCCCGGTTGATGACCCAGAAATGGGAGTCTCTTCGTGTGGGGTTGTTGGCGGCGGCAGCGGCGGGGGGGTTATTGGCGGACCCGGGTTCCCGCGGGCCCACTGGGTTGGAGTAAAGTTTTGTCAATCGGATCCTCGAAGACCGTCGGGCAAGTCCATGGAGGTGTCGCAACCGATGAAGAAGAGCCGGCGCGGACCCAGGTCGAGAAGTTCACAGTATCGGGGTGTGACTTTCTACAGAAGAACCGGACGATGGGAGTCTCATATATGGTAATGCCATACATGTATACATATATATTTGCTTTTGCCAGTTCAAGTCAATCAATGTTTATATGTCTGCACTTATCAGAAGAGAAAAGGAACAGATGTTTATGCTTTTATATGTGTTTTGACGCAGGGATTGTGGGAAGCAAGTATATTTAGGTACGCTTACGTATAGATTCATTTTCCATGTTTATCATTCTCTTTCTCGGAAAAAAAAAAAAAACAATCATGCCTTGTTTGTCTTTGATTGCTGAAACAATAAGCACATAAGGGCTTTTTTTCTGATTTATGTGATATGGGTTTTCTTTTTTTGTATATATATATGTGTGTGTAGGTGGATTTGACACTGCCCATGCAGCTGCTCGGTAACTTCTAATTTCTCTTCCCTCTTCTTCTTCTTATTCTTTTTCTTCTTCTTCAAATAATAGATGGATTCAAATTTTCTTGCAAGTTGAAAGAAAGTGCTAAAAATATAAATAATTATACAAGCATTTTTTTTTTTTGCAGCGCTTATGATCGGGCAGCCATAAAGTTCCGGGGAGTAGAGGCCGACATAAATTTCAGCATTGAAGATTACGAAGAAGACTTGAAACAGGTAGGATGTAATTTACAGATGGGTGGGAGAGATGGAGAGAGTTAGAAAGAGAAAGAGGGAGAAGGAGAGAATCCTATTGAGTTGGTATCTTATCTTCAACAGTCCTCTATCTTATCTTCTACAGTGTAGTCTTAAGATGTCTAGCTGTTACTTTTTCTTCCTCTTTTATTATTTATTATTATTTTTTTGTTTTTGTTAGAATGTCAAGGAACATTCAAAGAAACCATATGTATATATGGATTACCATCAAGAAAATATGTAATATAAACGGTGATTATTAACAGATGAGTAACCTAACCAAGGAAGAATTCGTGCACGTACTTCGCCGACAAAGCACCGGCTTCCCTCGAGGAAGCTCTAAATATAGAGGCGTAACTTTGCACAAATGTGGCAGATGGGAAGCTCGCATGGGCCAATTCTTAGGCAAAAAGTACTTCACTCCCATTTACTGTTTTTGTTTTTTCTTTTTTCTTTTTCCAATCTCCATCACATCAAGTGCTTATATTTATTTTTAATATATATATATATATATGTATTTATGTATGTGCTCTTCGATTAATTCTTGCTTCAATTATTCGCCAGGTACGTTTACTTAGGCTTGTTCGATACGGAGATTGAAGCTGCAAGGTATATTTATAGACATATAACATCTTGCTTCTTGTAAATTTTTCGATGGATTTTCCGTTCAGGTTTTGAGTTATTTTGATTGGTTTTGCTTTTCTAGAGCTTATGATAAAGCTGCAATCAAATGCAATGGAAAAGAAGCCGTCACCAACTTTGATCCTAGTATATACGAGAACGAGCTTAATGCCGGTAATAATCAATGCCGGACCTAATGATTTCTTTCTTCTTTCTTCTCAAACTAATTGTATACGTATATATGTACACTATTGTCTTTTAGAATCTTCAGGCGATGCTGCAGATCACAATCTTGACTTGAGTTTGGGAAACTCGGCTTCCAATAAGCAGCATTCTGGTATAGATCATCATCATCATCATCGTCTTGAAGCTGATTGGCGGAACCAAGCTTTTAGCTCCAAGGTTTGTAAACTATATATATATATATATATATGATAATGATATGAATGTGACTTTGTTGCTTATTTTAACATTGATCCAACTCATGGTGTTGATCAAAACTAATAAAAACCCAGCAGGAAGCTTGCAGAGGTGAAGGTGAACCTCAGAATGGTTACAGTGAAGCTGAAACAATGCAACTTCTGAGCCAGACCCATCTGCAATCTCCTGCGAATTCGTTCAAATCCAGCTCTGAATTGCAAAGGTATGGGCAATTCAGGCGACCCGGGGACATGTTTCAAATCCTTCCTCCGTACATAAACCCGCCAAATTATCAAGTGGGTATTACGATTAGTTATTATTAACTTCTTTGTTTGATCGATCGGTCAATTGGATATTACTGAATTCTTTTTTTTTTCAAAAAAAAAAAAAAACTTTTTGCAGATTCAGTTTCCGAGCAGCAGCCATGGAGGCCGAGTAGGGAGTGATCTGGCACTGTCAACGAGCGATAATCATCATCAATGGCAATCTGGTCAACATCATCAACAACTGTTTGCAAGTGCTGCAGCATCATCAGGATTCCCACAGCAGATCAGAAACCCCCAGAATTGGCTGCAGAAAAATGGGTTCCAAAGCTCTCTCATGAGACCCTCCTAACCCATTTTGATCTTACAGTAGCCATTGTTATATTGTCTTCTCATCCAAACAAAGCTTCAATCTTTCGTCTCTCTCTCTCTCTCACTATATCCGAATCACCATGTTTATTTTTGTTGATCATGAAATCGGCATGTAAAGATCATTTGCTCCAAAGATTCTCTTCTTTAATTCTTGACTGCCCAACTTTCCCTACAGAGGCAAAGGAGAAACTTACTTTTGGGAAAGAGCTGAAAAGAGAAATTAAGAAAAAGAAAATTTGGGAAAATTTCCAATTCTCTGGGAAATGTTTGGTCGTCGGTCAAACTAACAAACGGACGAAATCTTCAACTAGATTTTCTGATTCCTGACTTCAGAAAAAAAAAAAAAAAAGAACACTACTTCAAATTAATACTACCATTTTTTAAATATATAATTGCTTTCTGCAGCCTTACATATATCAACTTATTATCTTCACTGTACCTACTTGATTTAGCTGTCATCTTTGTCAATTATTGTTCTTATTTTTTATGGCAATATTTAAATCCCATTTGTTGCCTCACCTCAGTACTCCTCGCCTTCTTCCATCTTCATCATTTAAAGCTGATAGCTATCTTGATTTATCAGTGTTTTGATTCCACCAAAAGAAAATCTTTAACGCATGAGAGTTGTCTTTTGATCGGCTGGATTTGGTATTTGAAATTATCTTTTAACTTTCTTATTTTGATTTTTTTTTAACAAAAGTAATTTGGAAACTGGAAATAGAATTTACATCAATCATTCGCATCTCTCACTACCAAAAGAGTTTTTGTTCTTTCGCTTCCTTAATTGAGTAATCTTCTCACACACACACACACACACACACACACACATGCATACAATTTGCTTGAACATTGAAAAGTATGTATGTATATATATATATATTATCTCTTTGGTTATAAAATTAAAAAAAAAAAAAAAAAAGAATACCCAAGAGAGAAAAAGTCAGGTGTGATGAATAGGGAAATGGGTTTTTTATTTGTGTTGGAAATATCAGTAGAAGGCGATGAATAGTCACAATCATATTTGTCCTTTGAATCAGTTCTCTCGCTCAAAAAGCAGTCAGTCCTTGCCATAATGGCGAGAGGGACTTATCGCCTTCATCTAAGCCCTTAAAAGGACACTGTAAAAATGGAAGCGAGAGAGATGGATACATTTTACAGACAGCATAAAATGAAATCACTCAGTAACATGGCTTAACTCTTTCTCTTCTCTTTCGGTTTTTAACCTTCTTACTTTTCCAACTCATATCACACACACACACACAGACACACAAACGCATACAAAAATGTCTGAACGATTTCAATTAAAAATTAGGGTTTAATCATTCAAAATACATATATATATATATATATACACACACAATGACCCTACAAAACTTGAAGGGTATGATGAACCTGCGAGTACTGTACGAGGCAAGGGGGATTAGTGAAGGAAATGTGAATTGATAAGTGCAATATTTCATGATAGTTGCAGTGTCCACGACATTTAACACATTAATATATTGGCGGTGATATAAAATATATTTATTTTATATTAAAATATTGTTGTGTATTTCGTCATCCGGAGTGTCACGTACATTTTTTAATGCTAATTAAGCCAGGAGATTATACATTTTTAATTCTAATTAATTCTATATTAATAACGAGCAAGGTTATGATGAAGGCATTTTCTAGATCCACTACCACAATCCATTTTTATAGTAATTATATAATGCATGTGTCGTCTGCTATACTGTATATACATACATACATACATATATATATATATATGTGTAACATGTAAGGTGTAACATCCTTAATTAAACAAAAACTAATATTCAAAATGTTCGTGCACATTCTCATCCCAAGAAAGTGTAGTTATCTAGGTTTAATCTTTAATGTTACCTAGGAAAATAATAACGTGTAAACCCAAAATTCACCCTCTCAAAACCTAGAATCCCATGCAAGTTAGAAATAATATTTTCGTAAACCCTATTCTTTTTTCTTTTTTTTTTTTCAAATCGCATAAGATTTTGTTTCGATAAACTCGTACGTAATAACTCGATTAATATTTTATATCAACGTTAAAATTTATCTGAGTTTAGTAAAAAATATAGTGAAGATCAATAAGAAGAAAAAAAATTAACACTTTAGTTCAAAAAATCAAATCTTGAATACAGACAACGAGTTATTTTTGTATAATTGAATATCAGTGACTTCTTAGTTTTGATTAATCATATAATTTTAAAGACCAAATAAATGTATTAAATTATTATTTAATTTAATTTAATATAACGTAATAACTAATTTAACTATGAAATTAAGATAATGGACAGATTAAAATTCTAAATTAATGTGATAAGATGTGTTGCCATGGAAGAATAATGTTAGAAAAGAGGGATAGTCTATCAAGCAAAGAATCATTCATATCATACCACCGTCCATATAAATCACAACCAAATTAATTAATTTAAAAAAAAAAAATCGACGATAATTATTAGCCAATAATAGGCTGCCACGTAATAAAACATAGATACAAGCAATACCCAAAAATTTAAAATATAAAGGCTTGTTTGGCATGGTAACATTTAATAAGCAAGCTTTACGATATAGCGAAGGTGGTCCTCATGATTCACTAAAATTTGGTCTTTGCGTAAAAAATAACTCCTCCTCCAAAAAGGGAACAAAGTGACAATGTCTTGTAGCGGCTTTAAAGTCTTATGCCCTAGATACTTGCCTTTGCTTTGAAACCTAAAAATGATAATCTCTCCCAAATTCCTCGTTTAATTATATACATATCTTAAAATTACGACATATTTCGAGTAAATTTTTGTACAACTAAAACAATCACTTTCTAATTTAGTCAAAAACAATCTACAGTAGAAGTAGAAAATGTAAAGTAAAAATTTTTGTAGTATATTTTAGAAAAGTTAAACTCTTATATAATTTATAAGTCGATATCTCAAAACGTAATTTATAAGTTCTTTCTTTTAACATTTAGGGTATTAGGGTATCAGTAAGACGTAACATATGTTAAAATTAAGAGAATCACGAGTTGTGATATTACGCTTAAAAATTGAACATAAATTTAATTCGTGAGTTAACACGTGTTCAACAATCGATTCGTCCCTCTGTAATTTTTCGGGTAAAACTTGGACGAGGGAACGAAAGTGAAGAATTGGTGAGAAGTGGGGGACTAAAGAAGATGTAAACTAAAGGGTGGGAAAGAAAAAGAGTAAAGCAAGCAAATTGGAGATGACTTGTGTTAGCCCCATCAATGACTTGTTGGGTTTCCTTATATAGAATTTCTTTTCAACGGTTTGAAATTTCTTCTTTTTCTTGAAAGCAATATTTAATATATTAAATAAGTTATGTTTTTATGAATTTAAAAGTTAGATTCTTTAATTAAATTTTAATTTTAATTAATACGAACAATAATTTAGTAGTTTTTTTTTATTTTATATATATATATCAATTTTAATTTCCAAGTTCAATTGTTGAAATTTTATATTTTATTTGTAATTATATTTATCATTTGTCTAATTAATTTATTATTATACCAACATAATTACAAGGCAAAGGAGAGAGAGAGAGAGAGAGAGAGAGAGAGAGAATTAATTAAACCTCATTAATTGTTAATTATATCAAGGGACTAAAAAACCATCCACATTAATAAAGCCTTAATTGAATACGAAAACGACGGCGTATCGGAAATGGAAATGTGATTGGCAATTAGTGTTAAAACTGCTTGGCAAGATTAGTGAGGAGGTTATGCTTTTCTGGGTATCAAAAAATTGAAATACGGAATTAATTGAAAGCAAAACTTGGACTATTATTATTATTATAATCTTTAATGATTATTAAATTATTAATTTTTTTTTACATTTAAATATTTAAATAATAATTTTTATATATAATATTAAAAACCCACAAATTATATCCACATATTTTGTCAAAAAAAAAAAAAAAAAAAGGGGTCAAAAATTTTAGGCTATGGCTTGTCGTAGGCTAGGGCTAAGACCATTTTGACGGGCGGCTACGGCTGGGTTAGGTGAAAAGCGGCCGGGCTTGGCCTATAATGCAGACTGCAGAGGCAGCAGATTCTGGTTCGTAAATGGAAGCCAATAGATTTCTTATTTTTATTTTCCAAGCATAATCATATCTAATCAAATCTCTACTTACACCAAATTTGAACCGGCAACTTTAACTCATACAATTCATTTCATTTTATAAGAAAATATTTGGGGTGAAGGACAATTAAGTAATTCTGCATCTCCATTTTGGGGAAGCCAGACAAAGGGAATCATATATTAGTTACCACTTTTCTTATGCAATACGTACTTGTTACTTCATAGAAAAAGAGAGGGAGAAAAAAAAAAAAATATATATATATATATATATTGGGTTTGGAATATATTTATATATTTATATATATATGTATATATGTATACTATTTGAGGTTCTACGTAATATACTTGGTGTTCAAAGTAAATAGAATTTTGTTTTTAATTGTTTAAATTCAATTTTTTTTAAAGATTAAAATTTTAATTTAGTCGACCATGCCCATTTATTAAAAGAAAGTTGACATTATAGCAAAATATAGTGGATAATATATAAAATGACAAATTTATAATTTTTTTTAAAAAAATATTTATTGTGGTTTGTAAGTATATAAAATAAAACACACACCTAACTAAATACAAAATTGTAGTGGTTGTTGGTGCAACGTTAACAACATTGCTCTGTGGTCCTTGTACTATATAAATATCTCCTTTTAATTATTTATACATAATCATTGATTTTGTTCTTTAGAAAAATACCCAATTAAATTTTGTCCAAATTCTAGGTTTAAGTAATTTCTTAATCTTGAGGGCAAACATCTATAATATTTTTGGACGTAATCTTTTAATTGTGATTTTTAAATTTATGTTAAATTTGTATTCAGTCAATACAAAATACACATAAAATTATGTAAAATGTAACGTGTAAAAGTCATTAAAGTTTATCTCGAAATTAATTTGATTGGTGGTTGTATAGAAGTAGGATCGAGAGCCATCTTGTGCTAATAGTGGAATTGTTCCTTTCAATAATGTCAATTAAACATTTATGTGGGAGTTTATATTTCAAGTAAGGTGGGCTTAGTGTTTGCATACACACACATATACTATGCCACCCAAGTGTATAAATATGTGGAAATAAATATTTTTACTGATAAAAATGAACTTGAAGTGACTCATCACCGCCGGCCAAAAAGATGCCAATCAAGCAATTTTGGTTTTGCAAATAAGAAGCAACACCGACCTGACACTTGCGAAATGAATGACAGAGGCGGCATTATATGCAGTGACATGTGATGTAGCATTATTTCTAATTGACAAAACACAGGGAGACCATTTAAGAGATGGAGAAAGAAAGCTCTAAATTAATTAAAGCTCCCTCTCCCTCTCTCCTTCTCTCTCTTTCTATACATACATATATATATGTGTGTGTGTGTGTATAATTGGGTTTTTCTAATTATAAAATATATTTCCAAGTTTGGGTTTATTTTAAAATAAATTTTTAAAAGTGGGTTTGAGAGAATTTCTATGTTTAGTAAGATTGTGAATTATGAAAAAAAGAGAGGGGGGGGGGGGTGGGAGTGGGTAAAGTGGACACGACAAGGGAATGGTGTTTTAGCCACTCGTTTGCCTTTTGGTGGTATTAATGTGGAAAGGCCAAGTGGGCGAGGATTGCTGCTCCACGACATGGATAATAATATTCTAGTACTTGTTAGGTATTTTGCATCCTCACACTCTCTTTATACATTTATACACACACACACGTGATATTGCTATTTTTTATAGAATAGATTATGTAAAAAGTAATTTTAACTTGTAACCTATGGTAATTGCCAAAAAAAAACTTACTTGTATTTCACCATTTGGAAGAGAATGATGGTAATTTGACCCCAAAGAGGGAAAAGATGAAATTTTTTTTCTTTGGGAAGTATAATCTTTTCGTTATTCGTAATGGGTGTGTGTGAGATGTTTGTACATGACACGATTGGGGAGTGAGTAGGGGAATTCCCAATTTGGGAGAAGACGTGAGGTTTGTGAGTTTATAATTTTGTAAGTAAATAATTATGATAAGCACCCAACAGAGAAAAGAGGAGAAGAGAGCTCCACCAACTTCGTCCGAGTGATGGCTTATGAGCAATTAACATGACTTATTGCTGAAGGGCTTCGCGATTAGCTTTTAATTATTACTTTCCATGTTAAGAGAAGACTTGATGCACGAAACAAAGAACATTTTCGTCTTTTACTTTTACAGTGTTTAATTGTAATTTCAATTTCAATATAAACATAATGGAAATTCGAAGTAAGGTCCAGCCCAAACGCAATATCCATTACTAATTAGTTTTAAGTAGGGAGTCGAAGTCAAGAACATAGAAGAGAAGAGAAGCTACTGGGCTAGATCGTGAAGACTGAAGACTTTGGACCAGTGCAGATTGTCTCTAATGGTTATGTTAAGAGGTATTCGAAAGCAGGTCGAAATACAATTGCATTGCGAAAATCATCTAATCAGAAAACTAAGATATCAAAATAAGTTGTATAGAAATCACTTGATTGTTCCGAACATTACTAATGCGGTATTTATTTAAAATTCACGGGTGCAATGGTTGAAGATGGTAAGCCTGTAAACAAGAGTGGTGCAGCTTTTTAAGGTTATATTGACACAGATTTAAGTTACATATAGGTATATACAGCATAGTACACGTGACATCATGCTAAGAGAAACCAAACCTTGTATTTTTTCCTGCTCTAAATGAGCAGCAGAAACAAGAAACATCAGAAGCTGAAATCAGTGCAGATCAACTTTAAGTGCCAACGAGTTTTAGATGATGATCTGTCGTGGGTCGAATGGAAGGGGTGGTTTCTTGCTTTTACCTTTCCTTTTTCTCCAAAGAAGCTTTTTCCACAGAGTCTTCCCTCCTTGTGGTCTTCTGCTAGGGACAATTGCCAGTGGGTTAACGACGGCCTTGTTGTCTGCCGGCTTGTTTCCATTCAAAATGAGAATCTTTTGTAATGGCTCTATCGACCTGTTGAGCATGAGAGCAGAAGCATGATTGCCAGCACATCCGTTGGTTTCAGGTTCCTTCGGTGCTGCAATATCATCGGCTATCATTCTATCAAGTAGAGAGGACCTTTGGCCAATGACTTTTTCCTTGGTTGGAGTTGACTTAAGGGCTGTGGTAGCAGCAACAGGGGCGGCGCTGGTGCTGGAGCTGGTGCTGGTTGCAGTAGCCTTTTGTGTAGAGGTAGGGTTAATCTTGTCAAGACGTGCTGCTTCCTTAGAATCAGCCAATGCTTTCAGCTGCTTTCCTAGGTTTAGAATAGTCTCTTGGCACTCTGCCAATTTTTCTGAAGCAGCTGTGATCTCCCATTCCTGCCAGAAGGAAAAAAAAAAGTAATTGAAGCACACATAGCCAACCAACAAATCTCTGATGAACATTACCATAAATTTCAGCAACCGAGTATATAATGCAGGACTGAATAATAAACAAATTTCCCAGGCTCTATTTTATAACCTTTTTCTTTAAATTGCGTACTGCCTATGCAATTTGTGAATGTACAGCACGCTAAAGGAAAAAAAGAATATAACTTCCAGTGAATAAACCAATCCATTGCAGGAACAAAACAGCAATTACCATACTTGGAACTTCAAAGTGAAAGCAGTAATTGAGAGACCTATAAATCTACTTTGTGATGGAGACAACGCGGGGTGGATGGAGAGGATAACTAATCAAGTTACCTCAGACGTCTTTGCATTTCTTGTTGGTTTAAGAGCCCAAATGTTTTTGTTGTAAAATGTATATTTGGCCATTAGCATGTATGTACATGCACTTAGATTTTGAGCATATATGAACACATGACGTTAACTTACAGTTCTAAGTTGCTTGTCTCCTTGCTTGAATTCAGAGTCTGGAATCTCCTTCCTTTCACTAGAGAAGACATAGATAGGATGAATCAGATGCTTCAGCAAACTAAATAAAATCTTTTATAACATTCTAATTTAGTGGAGGCTAAAATATAGAAAATGATATTACCTCTCAAACTGGACCTGTTGCTCAAGACAGGCTGATCCTGATCCCTCACAGCATTTCTTGCTATCTTTCATCTCTGCTTCTGGAAAATGGAATTTTTGGTCAGTCTCATGTAAAAGATCTTCAACTATCAACTTATGATTTTCAACTTGATTCTCAATCAGACTCTCAGACTCTGCAATACCCTTGACAGATTCCTGAAATTTATTCATCAGGAATACACTTTTCCCATTAGCTAACTGGGGCTTCCCTTCCAAATGTTTCTTTGCAGCTTCAACATCACTTGCCTCATTTCTGAGTTCTTTACTATCTTGTCTTGCATTCGAGGGGAGTTCTACATTCTGAGAGGAATTATGATCAGCATGAGAAGCATCAACTACTGGTAAGGTAGAAAACTGTTCAACTGGAAGGCATAAGTTATCTGCTCCTGAGGTTTGACTAATTATTGCGACTTCTGCTTCACTTTCACTTCTAGATTCATTGCCGTCAAAGTGCTTTTTAATAACATCCTTCATGCTTGAAGCATCTTGAAGAGAAAAACAGTGATTAATAATCCAGTTAAATGCCGAACACAGTTCTTGCACAAACTTGTTGATGTCTGCTTTTCTGCCCAACAGATCATAACAAATATGAAGAAACCTCCGTAAAACATCACTCAACTCAGAAGTTTTCCACTGGAAAGTATGAACGGTGTATCCTGAAGGTGTTTCTACAGTCTTATGTAAGAAATAACTTGCTTCCTTCTTGGATAATGTCTCAGGGGCACCATACTGTAATGATGGTAAATATATCCCTTCAATAAGCTCAATTATTTTGCATATTGACGTGCTAAACTCAGGCAGAAGATGCTGGTTATACTTATCTGCTGAGGACTCGTCCACGTCAGCTACTCCACTTCGTGAATCCAGCACCAAAGCTCTCTCTGAAGATATACATGAAATGTTGCCACTAACGGGGGAGGGAATTGAAGCACCAGGACTAAAAGAGCTCTTCTTTGCATCAACAAACTCACCACATAATGGATTGTTGATATAAGACAAAGCTATTCTAATTTCTTGAAGTATTTCATCAGGGTTTCTTTGCGCAGCATGATTTTGCTCCAAAACCACTTTCAGTATATCCTGAAGCCAACCAGGAAGTTTGCTAATCAATTTGAACTTACTTTCTTGGCTTGGTAAGCTGAAACTAGGATCATGATCAGATGTTGAGATTATCTCCCTTCCTGTTACTTCAGTGGAAATTGGCCCATTCTCCAAGGGCCCAGTAGTTGCATTAGCTTCATCTGCAGAGTGAGAACTCCTGGATAATTTGTCACCAGAAACTACTGCTAATTTTTCCATTTCGACAAAGTCATCCATCAGATTCATTTCTGAAACCTCCACTGTTTTTGGTGAAGGTGAGCCCTTATGTTTCGCATTCCTGAAGTGCTCCAGCTCTGAAATCAAAGCAGAAGCCCACGATTCTGCAGAACTAACCTTGTCATCACTACCAATGTCTGATACTGATGCCATGGAGAGCTCATGTGATATAGCAGTACTTTTGATTTGCTCTACAGTCATCTGACCTTTTGAGGGTTCTTCAAGTTGTGACTCGGCTTCTGATAACTTGGAAGCTGTTTGAGCATACATGATTCTTGAAAATTGTAGTTCATTTATCTTTTTGTCTAGGGATTCCTTGAGAGTCTTGTTTTCTTCTTCCATAGCAGATAATTTCTCTGTCAGAATATTGATCCTTTTGCCGTGGGTGTCGTGTTGGTTATCAACTTCAGAGTCAAGAATCAAACCAGTAGGACTAGCATTCAACTTTTTCCTCCTCATTTCAAGCGAATCCCTTCCCAGAATCTCAACTTCATTTTTCATTTTGGCCAAGGCAGCAGGTCCGGGCAACCGTTTTTGTACCAATAGACGTAGCCTCTGACACTCAGATTCTAGCTTTGCAATTTTCTTAACACTCTCTAGGTGTTGCTTATGTGATGCATCAGAAGTTCGTCGATTAAACTCTCTCTCTTCATTCCGAATCTCAACCTCCTTCTCCAGCACCTGGACCTCATACTTCAGAGAAACATTTTGTTTCTCTGTGGATCGTAATCTAGTCATTAATGCATTAAAATCTGTCTCTAACTGATTTCTCTGTTTGTTTAGATCTTCAACCAAATTTTCCTTCATCAACAGAGCTTTGCTCAGTTTGGTATTTTCAACACCTATTTTTGCAAGCCTTTCACCAGTCTCTGCCAACTTCTCCTGCAAAATCATCTGAGCATCCTCGTATTCCTTTGATGTCTTCATTACAGCATCATGAATCCTTTTCTCCTGCTCTTGACGAACAAACTTCAACTGCTGCATACATTCCTTTAGGGCAGCATCCAGAGCAGATGATTTTTCTGCAAAAGAAGCTTTTTGCTGTAGGGCTTCATTTAGTTCTTGCTTTAGAGTCAATGCTTCAGCATCAGCCTTCTTCCAGCCTATGAAAAGCGTAAATGGCAAGAGTAGCTAAAATTAAGCTTGCCTGCATCATGAGAAAACTTGTGGGATCTGTTGTAGCTTTAAAACAATAATTGTAATTATATATTACCTGAAATGGCTTCCTGCGCTGTATTTTCATGTTTCTGCAGGAGTCTATCTTTGGCATTACACTCAGATAAGGCAGAAGAAAGCCTATGATTTAGATTTTTCAGGTTGTTTTCCATTTCTGCTTTTTCAGCCAGAAGCATCTGTATCTGAGAAGGCAATGAAGGAAATATGAGCACCTGTAATGGAAGTAGTTCCTAAATGGAAAGTTTTTTAGGAAGAATATGCAGTCTAAAGATACTAAGATGAGGCTCCTGGATGCATATACACAATCTGAATTTGGGGTTTATATTTTATTAACTATTTGGTCATGATTCAATCTCTGCAATGATATTTTTCGTAGTTCGGCTCCTATGAATGAGGTAGGGGAAGGCATTCTTACAACCACAGGTATTTAACACCCACCACACACTTCCTCACAAATTTCAAACTGTTTTACTCAAAAAATTCCTCTGGCTTTAGCCCAACCTAATTAATGGAGATGATTTTATTGACGATATAGGCAGGTTTTCCATGCGAAGAACTGGCCAAAGGAGGCAACCAAGTAGTCTAAAATTAGCCTGAGACATAAGTTTCTCAATCCCAGAATCAACGTTGTTAATTTTCTCAATTCAGATGTAGAACATCTGATTCTGAAGATTGGCAAATTCCTGTTATCGTTATTGCTGACCTCTCCAACAAATAAATTCACTTAAACGAGTTCAAATGATTTGCTATGTGTCAGTACAATGAGAACATGGAGTAGAAACTTATTGGTGACAGTACACCAGGCAACCTTACATTTCAGATTCCAGTGAATTTGGTTAAGGAGAAAAAATGAATCATGCTAATGTTTTAATTTACCTCTTCTTCATTTTCTTTCAAAGAGAGATCTGCTTTTTCAGTAAGGACAGTAGTCTTTTCTGTCGATTTTTTCCTCCAAAGCCATCCTTTATGGTCCATATTTTCACCACGTACAGGTTGGATATGTTAAGGAAGCATCCTGCATGGTAAAATTTAGATAACTGCTAAACAAATCAAAATAGAAAAATTTTGATCCTTTATCTGCATGACTACACCAAAAACTGATTTATACGCAATCATAATGGTAGCTTGCTTTGCAACAAGTTCTTTCCGAACTAAGTTGCAGCTGCATGTGACAAGAAGTCCTCGCTCATAGTTGCTTGCTCTCTCCGCAGTGGGTTGGAATCCCACAAACTATTACAGGATATACCTCTCAGAAAAGATGTCAAGAGTTTCATACCACCCTTCACCAATATCTGAACTTAGCAACCGTATTAGAGGTCATCCCAGACCTTACCACTTGGACTGGTCTCACTTGCCTGTTTGGGATTTATTCGGGTAATAGGTCTTAGATCTACCATAGGAGGTTACAAATGTTAATGTCACGGCCCATTTATTTCCCATTTAAAACAAATTCCAGAAAAGAGAAATAGAACCACAAGCCTTGATTTCATGACAACAAAACAGAAGCCAAACTATTTCCCGAACAACAACCGAGCAGGAGGCACCCGCCCGGGCCTATGGCCAGGGACCCTCCCCACCGAAGTGGAATTTTCTCTGCAAGGAAGAAAAAAACAATTCCGCCGAGAAAAAGACAACAAAAACTGTTGAACATATTTACCAAATTTCCGAACCTCAAGTTATAGATGAATCAAACAAATTTACCAAGACTCAGTAATATCTAAAAACTAAAAATGTTTTGATCAATTTAAATATGATTCTACGTGCAGACTAAGTACTTCTCGAACTCATTGAGGTAGCTACTAGCTGCATTGTTGTTGCATGCCGATGAAATCAATTGATTCATCATCTTCTAAAGGAAAACATAATCAATAAACCTCACGCCAAATACAATAAGAAAGAAGAGCAAAAAAAAAAATTGAAAGAAGAAGAAGAAACGGTTCTCGGCTCTGACGGAGACTCACCAATCTTTCAGAACGAGTACATCACGAAAACAGCAAGCGAGGACTCCAATGTGAGCGAACTCCAGTTACGCTCACAAAGCACATTGCAGCTCAGCAGCGCAGAACAAATAGACAGAGAAGCGAGACGCGTGAAGAAGATAGATAGGTAGCTAAACAGGCGACCTCAGGCTAAAAGAGATGGAGAAGAATGGGGGACTGAGGGTGTTCGGTAAATGGGGAAAAGTAAAATGAAGGGAAAGTAAAGTGTAGACTGTGTAAAAGGACAAAGTGTACACGAAGGGCGAGGGAGAGAGAGAGAAATTGGAGAAGGAGAACTGTCGGCTGTGAGTGACAGCGAGGGACACGCAAGTAGAAAGGGGCGTTGGATCGGGTAGAGATGGTTGGCATTTAGCGAGGGTTTTACCTAATCGACTTGATCGGACGGCTCAGGAATTTTCTTGATTACTTTGATCAGACGGCTCCGGAAGATCAGATGTCCGCGTCTAATTTTTGATTAATTGTCATTTTCTCTTCATACTTAAACACCTTTCCTTTAATTATGCTTAATATGCAGTCTAATCAAGAACCATCTGATATTTGAGTAAACAAATTTTCCAATTAGGAAATTAATAATTATAATTTAAACTATTAGATAAAATTTAACTTTATCATCTATATGTATATTTTCATTAAATTACTTGGTATTAATCTTAGTTAAGGAAGCTCGAAGCTAATGACTTCAAACACATCGTAAACATTTCAGTGGGAAGTTTGAGTAATAGAAAATAAAATTTTTAAATAGCTAATAGAGTCACTTTCGATAACGCTCTAAACCTATGTAATATAAATTGCTCGACTTCTTGAATCAATGTATAATAATATAGATGAGGGAATCTACGTAGCATTTAGTAGAAAAATAAAGACAACGATATGTTTTATTTCATGAATAAGGATAAAATTTGTAAATTTTAAGACTTCGATCACTACGACATTCGTAATACTAGATACGTTAACTTTTTCATACTTGTTGAGTAAGAACCTTTAGTAACACGAGTTATTCCAGATCGAACTCTTAATATATTTTAAAATGGTAAACTTTATTTGAGTTAACCGTAAAGCAAGTCTCTTATATGTATAATTATTCTTAAGATTGAGCGTTTTATTTAAAATAAATTAAATAGCATAAGGGGAGTTGAATAACATAACGTTAATAATTGGGGTAAATTATTCCTTAAAGTACATGTTTAGTGTTTTTATTTATCTCCGAATGCCACTAAATTTAGAAATTTCATATCGTAAAATCATTATGTATGAGATTATCATAACAATAATCTATTAAATATCTTTTTATTCAAAATAGTTATATCTGATAAATACATTTAGGAGGACAAACAGACATACAATACGACTTATAATATTATTTACGAGTATATGACTGCTCATAACTACTAAAACTTAACGAAAATATAAGAAATAAAGTAGCAAATTTTGTTAAAATGTTTTTCATATGATTTGTTCTTCAAAATTGTATTCTCATTGATTATTTTTTTAAAGATTAAGATGTACATTATGCATCATATTTGATTTTTTTTAGGTTATAGTACTCACGCTAGAAGATGATTCTCAAGGAATTTATAAAATTAATGCTATTTCTCTCCGTCATAACAGCTCATGCATAATCTATGGAAATCTTTGGTTAAAACACAATTTTTAAGTCCATATCATATACTGAATAAAATTATTCAGATTCAAATATTTTTCTTTATTGACTAGGATGTCTTTGTAAGAAAAATAAAAAATAATGTCTCCTTTTCGGATAAAACTTCATTATCGTTCATCAAACTCATTTGAGAAAAATAACTATGAATGAAACTCATTTCCTATTCTTATATTTTTCTCTTCTCCCAAATTATTGGTTTGGGAATCCCCGTACAACTTCGAGCTTTAGCAGCCTTAATATGGATCAAGTTAAAAAGATAATTTAAGATTTCAACAATAACTTAATTACCCATAATTCTCTTTACGCAAATTTTAAAGATTATGATTATCTCGACTTGATTATTTCAGAGAATTTAAACAATGTCATTTCGAATTTATGCTTTATATAATAGTTTATTATAAAAATATATATCGGGTAATTTTTTTTTAAAAAAAAATTATTGGTTAAAATTTATTTAAATTTATTTAAAAAATATATATTTTTTAGACTTGTGTTTTAAGCCAAGCCTTAATTTACTCTCATATATTTCATATTTGGTCATTGGGAAAGGAGTGGGATCTTTTGTCAATTAATGACCAAGTAAGGTTAGGTTCTAGAGAACATTAATGGAGAAAAGTAATTGAAATTTTTTATTTACAAAAAATTACTATGAAATTTTATTTTATCACATTTATAAAAGTTTAAATTTTAATTATAAATTCCCCCCACAAAGTCTAAGAAATCTTCAATTTGTTGGTAATTACTCTAGTAGTGAAGTACCACCCACCTTCGCACCTAAAATAAAATCATCGTTATATCTTTTTCTCTAAATATAGTTTATGACAAAATTAAATCGACTTCTAAATTTTACAAAACACCAAATCAATTTCTAAGTCGTGGGTTAATCTCCATCGATCACGAATTGATGTATACAACACCAAATTAAATTCTTATTTGCATTGCACTTAATTATACGAAGAAAATATATATATATACATAAAGTTCTAACTAACTATTTGATAGTTATATCAAATTATTGCTTGTTTCGTGGGATTTTTAATTTGGTAAGTAGCACTTTAGCTTACAAAACGACTTGAGAATATGTCAGATTGGAATATTTTATATAATTTAAGCACTAATTAGAATCAAAGTTGAAAATAAAATATCAAAATTATATAATTTAAACAATATTTAGAGGTGGGTCCATATTTAGTGCTAAAGATTATCTTTTTTTTCTGGGTCCCGGAGGGCAATTAAAGATAAGATGACAATTTTAATGGACCATAAAGAACTAAACCACTATGCTTACTCTTGGTATCTCTTTAATGTTTGTTTATACAAGAAACCATAATTATATAACATGTAATTATATAGGTTTAGTTGACTCGGTGGGGAAAGGGGTCCCCTCTTATTTATTTCTATGTGTTCTTTTTATTTTTTGCCCATGATGTAAGTCTATATATTCGATTAGTGATGTTGATTGCTAATTATTTAATTAAAAAGAAGTAGTAATAATATAGTTTGCTTTATGGCAAGCAAGCATTATTCTCTTATACACTCTCTTGGTTCGTTTGTATTATTCTCATTATCCATCATTTCGGCATTCTATAATTGTGTGATTAATTAATTGAATTTTGAGGAATGAAGAACTTATGGACATTAATCAAACGAGTAAACCACCGCACGTGAAGTTCTTTTGTAATATTATATATATAGCACACTCAATCCCGTCAAAATATGACAACTAACATTAATTATAATATTTTTGTTTTAAATTGTAAAAAAAGTAAAATTTTAAATTAATTAATCAACTAATTCATTAGATATATAGTATAATAAAAATATTTTATTATTATTTTGTTTACCGTGTTAATGTATTTGTAGTGATAGTGACAGTAACAATAAAAATAATTATAATTTTTTTTTTAAATAACTATGACTATTGCGATAATGATATTAATAATAGTTAACGATATTAGTAACAGACAAAATAGTTAATAATAATAGTACACATAAACCATGCTACTAATTGCGTAAGTGATAATACAATAATAATAATTACAGAGTAACGGTAACAACATCAGTAGTGACTAAAATAATAAAACTAATAGTAACAATAGTAGTTTCGGATATAGAAAATAGATAGTGACAACAATAATAGTAGCATTACTATAAATAACGATTGTAATATAAATTGTCACGACGATGGTTAGTAGTAACAGTGATAATAATAGTAGTTATTATGATAATGATAAAGGTAATAACGAGAACAATTGCGACGAGAATGACAATTGTCAGCAGTGATACTAAGAACACGAGTATTAACAAAAAATTCAAATTAAAAATATAGATACAACGAACTGTAACTTAATCATCGTTAATAAAAATTAGAGTCTAAAATTATGCTTGGTAGTAAATAATTTGTGTTTGAGTTCGTATCATCATCGCGTAAAAATTATTTGATTTTGGGAATCTAAACCATCGAGGAATTCAAGATAGAACTATAAATAGGATAAATGTGAAAATTACAATAAAATTTTCAAAGGAAGAAAGTAGGGAGAGAATCCAAAGCAATTTAAAGGGGGGGAGGGGGGAAAAAGCAAGATGTATTTTGTTTTGTTTGCTTGCATTAGCTTTGATTTTACAGCTGCAATGGTGTCGGCGTTCTATGTTAAATGCTGCATTAAACCGGTGTCACCCTCTCTGTTCGCTTAAGGAGCTATCACACCATAAAAGCACCCGCAGGCCCCAGTTCCATCTTTAGATTCGTTTATTTCTGTTCTGAAGTTTTAAGTTATGTTTAAATAAACAGAGCCCCGAGTCTAATTACACCGATTAAACATCTTAATTCAAGATTATCTTAGCATGTCCAATCACGTCGCCGTTCACCGCCGGGGGAGGGGGGGGGGGGGAGGTGTTCAGCCGCCGGTTCCTCTGTCGTCAGGTCAGGTCACGAACTTTCTTGACCTTCCCGGCACTAAAAGAGCGTCAGCCTCTGTACATGATCTTACGACTCTGCGGAGACACGTGTTTTTGGCAAACAGTCGGTAGAATCTACCGTGGGTTTAGTGTGTGTGTGTGTGTGTAATATTTAATTAATAAAATGTATGAATTTAAATATACATAAAACACATGACTTTGTCGCAGGATTTGGGCCCGTAAAACCTCAATCATGTCTGGATAAGCATCTAAAATATTAATAGTATTTATTTATGGAAATTTATAAATTTATTTTACGTATTTCCAGGCTGGTAATTAAGTTATTTTCGGATTAATTTTTATGTATTAATAATATTATTATTATTTAAAAAAAAAATTTGGTTAAAAAATCTGTACAGGGATTAGGAAAGTTTACGAATAAAATCATTGAAGTATAATTTAAAAATAATTATAAAATAAATATTTATTTTCCAGAACACTGAGAATTGGGGGTTGTATTAAAAATTATATATTATCTACAATATATACTGTTCCGGCCCTTGCTAGGCTTTACAGGTGGCTGCTTCTGCTGAGAGCCGGCCCAACGGAAAAAGTAGTTTGGACTTTTGGACTCACGGGCTCAGGGTTCGGCGTCAATCGTCGTGGTGCGGTTCGACGAGCTCCGTTTTGTGTCAACAGCTCGCCATCGCTGGCCGTGTCTGAGCGAGACCAGCTCCTCGTCTACTACGCACTCTTTTTTTTTTTTTGGAATCAACTTCACTATTTGAGGGGGGAAAAATGGTGAAAGCTAAACCACAAAAGTCTAGGCCCAAGAAACAGCCGCACGTAAGTCTCCCTTATTCTTCTTCCACTTCGTTCCTTTTTCTGGATCCATTTGAGATTATTAAGTAGGAATTTTGTTTGTTTACTTATGTATTTATTTATGACTCTTTGATATGTTTTTTTGTTTGATAGTTCGAAAATTACTGCGATTTTATCATCTGATGATGGATTTTCTTATAATTTTTTTGAAAAAGAACACTAGGAATAACGTTTTTTTTTTTTTGTTTTTTGTCATGTATGGCAGTTGATTGGTTTGTCTCCCTGATCAAGTATATAAATAGAGCTGTCTGCATGTGTTTTAGTTCTTGTTATTTCCAAGTCAATACGGAGGTTATAAGAAGTTCCTCAATGGCAGGCTGTGATTTCGAAATACCAATAAATACATATTGGTCTTAAAATCATGTTCGTCATTAGGATGCTTAGCTTTATTGAAGCAGCATTGAGTAGTTTTAGCTTTCCGCGTTCAGTTTGTTTTATTTTGTGGTGATGTTGATTGGATTGCAAACAGTGGTTCTAAAAGGAGGATAACTCCATATAAGGGGAGTGCCCGACCTTATGAGGCAAAAGTCTGTCCGCCTCAACCTTTTGTTAGTTTGTAAACTATTGGTGCCCAAGCCAAGGTCTTTTTTGGCATTCCAAAGTGTACGTTGAGTACTAAGTGTTTAATGATTGTGAATGTACAATAGCTGATATTGTATTGTTGGTGCAATCCCTATGAAAAGTATTCTTGTGCGTATTCCCAGTTAGACATGTTTTGTTCTGATGGGAATTAAGTTTTTAGCTTGCGATGTTATATGTCTTACATCGTACATAATAAAGATGGCTATGGTTGTTTCCTTTTTTCTCATAAAAGGTAAGCAAGCGAACATGTTTTATTATTTATGTCACATTCGATTAGATGTGTAGATGCGTATGTCTTCATGTCTGTGTGTACCATAATCAAATCTCTTCTACGCATTTGAGGTACCTTTTCATTTTACTCCTAAGGTATCTACTTAATATGGCCTGTATATCTGGATAATTTCAGTTATTGTTTGCTATGAAATCATTGAAGTGATTGTCCAAATAAGAATTGATGGGTAAGTCATCACACAGAAAGACCCAATTATTATGCTGCGGAGGAAATTCAAGTTTCTTGGCCTGCAGTCGGATTTATATTTTAACATGATCAACTCTACTTGGACAATGATGTTCCTATCTCCAGGGTAGGATGATTAAACGAGAATATTTTCTGTGTTGGTAGAGTGGCGGTTGCAATAGAAATGTCTTAAACCTTTTGTTTTTTTCACTAGTTCTGTCACTAAGTAGCTCTGTCATTAACAATGAGCAACCAGAAAAGCCACACGGGATTGAGGAAAAAATGTTGATTTTGGATCATAAGGGTTGCAGTCAGCAGATTAAGCATGCCAGCCATATTTCTAATAAGATGGATGAACACCACACTTCAACAATTGAAAGATATATGTGAAGAATTAAGATCACATGCAGTATGAAAGAAATTTGCATGGGAAAGCATGCTGTCTGTTTCTCTCTTTTTGTTTATAGATACCTGATGTGTTTTGAACTAAACTCCATGCTAATGCTTTGAAATGTGCTGCTCCCTCTATCTTACAAATTAAATGAACGTAATTTGTTTCTATGGACAGACAAAGAAGCAGGGAAAGCAGGGTGATATTTCTCTTTTTCGTGCTCAGCTTGATGCATTGGGTCTTAAAATCATCCAAGTGACTGCAGATGGTAATTGTTTCTTCAGGTCTGTGTTTTGATGGTGTCCTCTCATGCCAAATACTTACTTTGTGGACAATGCTTTAGCTGTGTATCTATGAAATCATGAATTTATATTCTTTTGGATTTTTTTATTAATACTGTTAGAATTTGCAGTATCTTTCATGGAATCCATGATGTTATGTAATTAAACAATAAGTATATTAGAGATGCTTTTTTATGTTGTTTTGAGTTGATTACTCTTGTTAATTGACAGGGCCCTTGCAGATCAGTTGGAAGGTAGTGAGGACGAACATGGAAAGTATCGTAGCATGGTTGTACAATATATAGTGGTAAACAGCAATATGAAATAAGGAAGCTTTCTGACATGATTTGGCTTCTGTTTTATCTCTTGTAGAGATTGCTTGGTGAGATAAATTGTAATTTGCTCGGAGGTGTTGTAGTTCAACAATTATTTTTGTCTTGGCTTCCAACCATTTCTTACTTAAAATTCTTGAGGCTAGACTTTAGGTTGCTTATCACTTGGTGAAGTAATTGTTATCTGCTTGAATGTGGTGATTTAAAACATGTGGCGTCTTTTGCTGCTGTTAAAATTTTTGTTGCGAAGCACTTTATAGTTCTGTGGAATCTTTCTATTTCCCTTCTATCTCAACCCCTGATTTTTTGTTGGAGGAATGAAATTCACATATATTTCATTTTGGCCTATGATCAACAGAAGAACCGTGAAATGTTTGAACCCTTCATTGAGGATGATGTTCCATTTGATGAATACTGTCAATCCATGGAAAAGGATGGAACTTGGGCTGGGCATATGGAATTACAGGCAGCTTCTCTTGTTACACACAGCAATATTTGCATACACAGGGTTAGAATTTACCATTATTCTTATTTATAAATCTAATGTCATTGTAGGTTTCTTTACTTTCTCCTGTGGGCTTCTTTTTTTTTTTTATAATAAGCACTTGACACTCTCTTAGACACGTATGATTAAATTTATAGGGATCTTGATTGGTTTATCGGTGTCAATTACAGTCTTCCAAATTGGATGTTAAGACATAAGAAACTAAAAAAATTTTTCATGACACACAAATCTGCACCATCTAGGAAAATTGTATCCCCATTTTTATCATTGTTTATACATATAAATATATTTTTATTCTGCATCACGATATTTTTTCTTTAAGAAACACACTCATAGTTCATCATTACGAATTTTTTCCAGTTTTTGCTTTTTGCCACTCTATGATTTAATCACATGAGCATCCTTCAAAACATTAACATGAGCTTCATTGCCATTAATATCTGTTCATGTTTTGTGGCATCACCTTTTAAATAGTGGTGCGTGCCACTCATGTGTTTTCTGCAATCTGCTACTGCATTGTGGTATATGGCAAAAGTATCGCTTTGGCATGGCATTATCATGTGCTGCCTTACTCGAACCGTTCATGCTATTTTCACACATGCACACACATACTCACAGGCATATGGAAGTGAAAACACACATATAATATTAGTGTTTCTTCATGATACAGAATATGTCACCTCGCTGGTACATCCGAAACTTTGATCATAATGGAGCCCGCATGATTCATTTGTGAGTATCCTGTAATGTTTATCATGCCTTAATTGTTAACTTTTCTTGCATAGTTTCCGATCATGAGAGAACTTCAAATTACACATATTATCTATCTTCTGACAGAAAGTTTTATATATTCAAATATGTTGAGTTAATTTGTATTGTTAATGTTTCTTTCAGATCTTATCATGATGAAGAGCATTACAATAGTGTGCGGTTAAAGGAAGACACTTGCAGTGGACCAGCTAGGCCAGTTATTATCAAGGTTTCTGTCTGCAACTGTGTCAACATTATTATTTACAACTACGTTATCCTACTTTCAAGTCCAAAATCCAAACATTAGTTGGTGGCACTGGCCTGATAACTTTTAGTTTGTGGAAGGCTGATGCTGATCTTTCAGCCTCATCCCATCAAGCAAAAGCTGCAGTCAGCAAGTCCAAAGGGGGAGCTGGTTCAGCTAATGTAAGTGCAGGATCCATCAAGCTAGTTATGGCTGGAAGTGGCTGTGAAAATGCTGAGAAAGTTGAGCAGGTAGTAAATTGACCAGAGATTCCTCTTTCCAGATTGGCTTTTCGTCTCTCTTGCCCTCTTTGTTTGTCTCTTTTTGCTTGATGTTGTATTGTTCCAGGTTTTACAACAGGTAGATGCGGATGTCAATGCTGCAATAGAGTTTCTGATAGCAGAGCAGGGCACAGAAGAATACTTGGCTGATAATTCTCATCCTTGTGATGCAGATATATCATATGGTAATGGCTGGTTAGTACTTTTTTGCACATTTTAAAGAACATTCTTCTCTATTTTGCATCAGTTTTTGTGATTAGCATGAACATGCTTGAAAGTGATTCTCTGCAGTCTAGTATAGTATAAGATGGTGACAGGCTATATCTTGCTAATGTATATAGCCTGTTATCTCCTGTTTGATAATTTATGGCACATGCTTTCACTTGTATTTTAGGAAATTTCCTTTTTGAGTTTCGTATCTACAATTTGAAACTCCAGGTGATTGTAGAAATGCAGACTGTGAACAGCTCAAGGAAGAACCTGTATCTACTAGCAGTGAGCAGGATTTATCTAGTAATAGCAGGCTCAGCAAAACCTATGAGGACAGAAGTTCCCCATCAGACGACAAGGTTTTTCTTGCTTTATTTAAAATGTGGAAATATTTTTCTTTGCCATTCATGGAGGAAGTTATAAAACTGATGACTATTGTAATTTTTTCTATTCATATAAACTGCAGAGAATCCCAAGAAACAAGGTATGCCCTTGTGGATCAAGGAAGAAATACAAAGCTTGTTGTGGATCGGTAGCAGGAAGATCGTCTACCAAGTTCACAATGTAAGCTTCTTGAACAAGCTTTTTGTATGACCCTATTTAAGCTATTAAGTGTAAATCCAGTTTAAACTACCGTGGTTTCACAGTCCACTTGGTTTGACTTTCTTGGTATTGTTGACAAAGGGAACACTTTACCCGTTCCATTCTCGTGATGTGATCTACAGCTAGAATAATTGTCATTAGTTAAGAAAATTTAGTTTAGTTTAGTTCATCACTTATATGCCTCAGTGCTAATTTGCGGTTCCCAAAACTTCCTCTCTTTTTTCATATGAGTTCTTTACGATTATGCCTAGGAGCTCTAGAAAATTTCTCCCTAGGAATTATTCTTCATTTGGATTTTGTAATATTATCTTGTAGTAACCAAGCAGTTGACTCTAAAAAGGGTAAGAAGGAAAAAAAGAATACGAGAAAAGGAGGACCCAGTAAACCTACACCATCCTCTGAACTTGATGGAGGGCCGCCTGACGTGGGCGCTCTTTGTATATGATCTCTGGACTCTTTGAATACCGCCTTTCTACAGGTATGTTGTTCATTTGATGTGCATGACCTTTTACTTTCTGTTTCTGATGATGCAAGGAATCTTTTTTTTTCCTCCATATAACACGGATAATTGGTGTAACATGTTGGTAACAATAAAAATTCTTATGATCGTTGTTCAGCTTATTTTTCCTTGAGAAGACAACAGGATAACTGCATTTTGTTTCTCAAATTATTGCAAGATTCTCAGATCTCCGCAACATGCTGAATTGGATATCCAGCCATGGGCTACTCTTGTTCTTGTTTTTGTTCTACAAGCAAGAGGGCCTCATGCCATCAAGCTTTCTGAGAAGAAAATTTTGTGTGTGGTCGCTGTCTCAGTTCACTTTATCCATCTTGGTTTAGGTTACGCGTGGAGGCAAACATGGTTGGTGTATTGGATTCTTGATGGTAGGTTTGTCGAATTCTCGACGGTAGTCATCCTCAGGTCTTGCTAGACGTGTGGATCAGTCCCAGTAAAGTCTGAAGTCACACAGCTGAAAGATTATACGGATGATAATGTCATGAAGTCACACAAGTAATTTGGTCGAGTCTCCAAAAATCAAGGAAGCAAGATGATGACGAAAAGTTTTCAAGATTTCTATAATGCAGATGGAATAAATTTTTGTTTTTATAATCCTAGTGTTAAATTTTAATTTTATGAACATAAGGATGAAATTATAATAAAAATAATATTAAATTGATTCCAAGTTAATTTTATATTTAATTTAAATTATATATATATATATATATTTGTTTTTATTAATTAATTTTAAAATTTTTTGTAAAGACTCAGAATTTAAAAAAAATAAAATTATGAATTGAATGCGTAAGTGAAATAATAGAGTTAGTGTTTATGTTTTTTATATAATAGTTTAAAATATCTAATAGGGTTACGAGAATAATTTTTTTAAAAAAATAAACGAAAATTAAAAAAACGAACGAAAAGTAAACAACTGAATATATTAAGATGAGATTCACTAGTTTTTGAATGGAGTCCGAGTAGTAAACAATTCACAACCCTCTTGTTGATCAGGATTTGAATTTTGATCATTTTGATCTGAAATAGTTAATGAAATGGTGAGTTACACTAGTTCAGTAAGAATATCACACTACTCACCGATATAGAAACTGAAGGTTGGTAAAAATTATAAGAATAATAAATATAATTTTTAAATTAAATAAATTCATTTATCATAGATAAAACTATTTATTGCATACTTACCGTTGCGATATTTACAAACCGACCTATAGAGTCAAATATACAAACATTATAATGTCATATTCAAGTAGGCAAAATAACAACATTTTCTTTTTCTTTATTTACTGGTATCCTTGGAAGTCCATAACGATGTCCCACTACGCGTGAACTAATATCAAAACATTGTCAACTAACTAGCTGTCCCCATATCCCGTCCGATATGAGCGCCAAAAATATCATCCCTTAATACTCTGTTCGATATGATGGTGAATCGGGTCGTTCCCTTATGTCATTCAGTATGAGCGTCAAATATATCATTCCTCGATACATCGTCCAGTATGAGGTAACGTTCATAGTAGGGTTTTCTATGTACCCAGTCTGTCCACCATCTCCCAGGATATTCAGTAAATCAACCATTCATTCATTCACTTAACCAATCAATTTTTCTTTTACATTTTAATTTTCAGTTTCACAAATTAACCGTAAATCACGCAAGAAAATACAACTGAATTATTTTACCAATTTTAGTATATTATCATGCATTTAAAACTGTAAAATCAAACAATCAGTTAAACAGGACAAACAATAAATAACTAACCGGTTCCGTCTCCATTAATAATATGTGATTATTCTCTAAGTTTTTTTAAATTACATTAAATATCATATTATCGATCATTAAACTTCAATACCATAACAGAGAGTAAGGTGAGAGATTCTTACCCGAATCGGTGTCCGAAATACTGAACTTTCTACTACGCTTACTGGTGATCCCCGAGTTTCATGAATTTTTCTGGGAGATTAAAACACGCTTTACGTACCTAAAAATACCCAAAAAACTCAAAATTGGTGTTAAAAATTATTTTCCAGCTAATTTTCGGGTTCCGACACGGTGGTACCGCCGTGCTCCAGCGACGACACCGGTGCTCATGGCGATGGTTTGCCTCGGCCTGGCTGTTTTCAGCCGATTTTGGTTGATTTCGGTCAGTTTTATACCTATCCCTGCGAGAAAACACGTTAGAGGGTCTCGCTTATGCAAAAAAAAAATAAAAAATGGAAATCTATCGGTGGTAAGATTTTATGGTGCGGCGACTCTGCTTGATCACATTTGCAGTTGAACATTTTTCTTCTGTTAACCTATAGAAAATATGACAGTAAACACAACGGTAGAAAAATTGCATGAAATGAAAAACGGAAAAGGGCTCATCGGAGACGGTTGCGGGTTTTGCCCGCAGTGTCACCGTCAGTCTTTGCCCACAATTTTCGGCTTACCTACCATTTGTTTTGCTCTGATATGACTACAGGGGTGCTCGAAATTGAATTCTGAGCCAGTGGAAAAGTTTTTACCTTTTTTGGTGGTCGGAGGTGGCTCTAGTGCGGTGACAGGCGGCGGTCGGTGGTTGACTCCTTTCTCCATCGGCTGGTTCTTCTTCTCCAGCGGGGGGCTGACGACTAGGATTCAGGTTCTGTGTGATGCGAAATATTTATACTAATATCGCATTAATTTATATCGTTCATCGCGTTTAATCTCGACTGTTCGATCGCGTCTAAAGAGAAAACGAATCTGGATCGTTCACTACGTTTGATCTCGATCGTCTGATTGCATCTAATGAGAAAACAAATTTGAATCATTCATCACGTTTGATCGCGACCGTCTGATCGTGTCTGATGAGGGAACGGATTCGGTTCGTTCACGCGTGCGGGAAGACTTCTGGATTGTTCGATCGCGAGGCACGCAGATCGCCAACATGGCCTCCCGCGTGGCACCAACTCAAAATGTCTTGTCATGCAGCGCGCTCCGTTTCATCGAGACTGTTGACTGAGCGGTCTTATGTGGCAAAATTTTTAAAATTTGTGGTCTGTCCTCCAATTTTTAATTTTTTTAAAAAAAAAAAAATTCTTACTCAAATTTTTACTCATTTTTTTAAAAAATTATTTTCAATTTTATTGTTAATTTATTTTTTTTCATAATTTCACATTAAATTAAAATTTATTAATTTCAAAAAATAAATTTTTATACATTTTAGAATGTTAAAATTAATCTCAATTCAAATTATGAGTTTGGGTATTACAGTTTTTTTTTATTATTGTTTAGTCCTTTTTTTTTTGATGTAGTTTAAATATTAAAATAAGTAAAGACTAACTTAAACAAAAATCAATCAAATCAATACAAATGATAATAGTAATTTCGGATTTTTAATGGAAAAAATTTTAGAATTAAATTGTAATATAATCTATAATTTAGGAAGTAAAATGGTAATTTACTCGTTAATTCAATTATGTATCGAATAAAATTATAACTGATTTTTATAATATGAACCAAGTAAAATCAAATACTGTATAACAAATTTTAATGGTAGAACCATGCTTTACATAAATGTATGTATAATAATATTTTGATTCAAATAATTATGTTCTCACTTTATTTCTAACCTTAATAAGTTAATATTATTTGCTTAGTTGAGATTAGCTTTTTTTATAGGTCATGCAAAATACCCTCCATTTTAAGGTGTAAAAATTATTGCTCTTTGTACTTTCAACTACAATACCCTTGTTAGAAAATGAACCCTCCTCAAAGAACACTGCTTACTCTTCAATAACTTGTAAGTTTTATGAACCAATATATTTCATAGTAGGTATTAAAACCAAGTCCTATTAGTGGTGTCTCTTTCTCAGTTCATGGCTATATCTTCACTGTAGAAGGATAATACAAAGGACAAATGGCTTTTTCAAATTCTGATTAATTTCATGCCCAGAAAGTATAAAACAGAGTAAAATTATATCATCTACTGCTTCAGAAGGTATACCATTTGCAATGATTCAATTTAGACGAAATTGATTAATAGCTTTCGCTCCCTTAGATTAAGGCAACTCTGTCATCCGTTGTTCGGCTTTCTCCAGCATAAATTGTCTATGAAAACAGCGCAAATCTGAACAAAAATACATATGCGGTCTGTCTCTCTCATATTGTTCAGTAACAGGACGCCGAGAACACGTGCAAAAGACCCCGGTAGATAAAGTTCTATCAAGAAATATAGGTACCTTTATATCAACTTCTGGATATCTCAATCTCTATACGACAGAAATTTTGCAATATCGTGTAATCCAGCTTCCTTGTAACATTCAACAAGACGGTCCAATGTGTCATCCCAAGTCCCTTCGATAGAAGCTAGATCTAACAAAAATGCAGCCTCGTCTAATGCTATCTGTAGGAATAAAATTAATAAGTATAGGCATTATAATTCATCACAATTGCTAATATATATTATAGCTAATGACGATGAAAAAATGATTAAATAACCTGGGCAGCTGGTTTTCCTTTGTTAAGATCTTCTTGCTTTCCCTTCTCTGTAACTTTTTCCTTGAGGTACTGAATTTGTTCATCCTCCCATTGTGCAATACAAGCAACTTCCTGAATCAGAATAAAGAATCAATTTGTTGACAAAAAGGGAGGAGCAGAAAAGGGAAAGAGGCAATACGAGTAGGAAAACACTGAAAGTGTTATGATTTACGAGTTTTATACCTCATATTTGCAACCCAATGTCCACCATGGCAATTTCAGAGCTCCCCTGGCAGCATCTTTAGCTTCTATCTTACGGCCAACCCTACAACACACAAAAAATGATCACCTTATGAAGTCAAGGCAGAAAATATAACTTAGAAAGAAGTATAGGAAAGCCTAGGGAAACGTAATTGAAAGATAAAATCCTACGAACTTCAGCAGAACCTCTGCGTTGAATACAAAAGGCCGTGCAAATCCAGGAAAGTGTTTCTTCTTCGTATAAAATTCGGCAGTTACCAAAGCTGAAACCTTAAAATATATGACAAATACAAACTATTAACAATAAACTAATATATAAAATAAAATAAGCCACAACTGACATCAGATGAACCTTACATGGTCTCCGTTCTCAAAATGGTGGATCACTTTGCGTTCTAGGACATCTGGAAATAAACCAACCTAAAAAACAATTCATTCATTAATAAAATTTTCAATGTATAGCAAAATATAGTAGGGTTAGGATACATCCTTGTCATCACCTTTCTTAGAAGATAGACATCTAGATCTGAAATATTTGATTTAGCATAGTCGCCTTTTTCATAGAGTTTCTTCCCAGCATCCCCCGCAGCATGAAATAGCTCATCACCACATTCTTGGGAGTTATTAGCATCTTCTTCTACCAACATTCTATGAATAAATTGAGCTACCTAGACATGAATGAAGTAGATGATATAGTTGTAGGAGAATGTGTTCCAGCTTTAGACCCAAAAAGTACAAAACAAAAATCTAACTTAAAAAATCTGACACTTAGTTGACTCACATTCTTGGCTAAAAGCCAAACTCCATGTTGTCGGACCTCCACTACTGGCATCTCCATGCTGTAGGTGGTGGAGAAAAACAATCACATAAATGAGAACAATAACTAGAGAGAAAATGGTTATAGAAGTTTGAACTCCTTACCCTGGTGGAGCTGTTGGCCACCGCAGCAATGCAGTTATAGTGCCTATAAATAAGATATCATGTAACCAACAACATCAACTGCAAGAACATCTCTTCAAGATAACTGAATTCCTGATGTGATAAACACCTGAGCTGTTTTTTGTTAATGGAATGGCAAGTGGAATTAAGCCTTGCTTTGCTCCAGGAGAAACAATGGATTCACCTGTTGCAGGGTGATACAAGCACTGGGATTTCACAACCTATTATCCAGATATCAAGAACTTTACCAAGAAGGCACTTAAATCTTAAACATATAAATCAAAATAGAATCAGAAGAAACAGACTCAGTCACATTGCTTAGTTACTAGAGAAATAGCTTCCTGAAAGCTTTATAGACAATGGGGCTAAGCACATATAATTGGACATTATGTTGAGATAAAGCTCCAGTTGAAGATAGATTCAAGCTTGTATCTTATAGCCCGAATTCACCGTGGAGGATGCATACCAGTAAAAGCTAAAACTCAATGGATCCCAGAAATATTTATTTAACTTTAATTGAAAACAAATTGGATTGAAATAGATTTTTCTTTTTTGCTTCACATTCTCGTTCTATAATTTAAATCACACTCAATTTAAAAGAAAATTTCATGAACAATAGGTGTTAAGTGGTTTTTGACTTAACCTCTTACAGTGAGCATTCTCAAGAGCTGATTCAAATACTGAGGAGGTTGAGTGACAGCTACATCTTTGATGAATCTTACATGGTCTGCAAATTTACCCACACGAACAAGTAATCAATCACTCAATCTAATCGGTGAAAATGAAATAAAAGCATCATATTTAGCTCTAAAGGAGAAGAAAACTACCATGAGAAAAAGAAGAACTGCAGAGGTATCTGGCGGTGGCGCGTGAACCTCCATACACCGCGGCGCCGCCCATTATTGTTCCCTCTTCTTCCTTTTTCCCTGCGGATCAATTAAAATACAGTCTTTTTTTTTTTTTTTTTTTGAAGGCCTGGTTAAGTTACCCACAACCCGACCCATAATATTTGAGATTACAATTTGAGCCCAATTGTTTTTCATTGTGGGTCTCTCAATTGGGTCGGGTTAATTGCAGTATTCGGGTCAAAACTAATGTTTATATACTAATAATTGCATATGATTAGAATTTTGATTAATTTCTAATTAATTAGTCCATACTATAAGGTAATTATTTTTTATTTTTCTACTTAATATTTTTTTAATTTTAAATATTTAATAATTTTTTAATTCGAAAAATGTTAACCTATAATTCTGCTTCTAATATAATAGATGATAATTTTTTTTTTTATTTTTTAAAGAAGTTGTGATTCTAACTATTCTAACAGAGGAGGAGGACGGGAAGAAGAAGAACACAGAAAAGAGAGTCGGCAGCTCTGAGGAAAACCCTAATCGGGAATTTTCTTGGTCAAAATTCTTAACACAAAAGCTATACAAACGTGTATGCATATATATACACACGTGCGGAGTCTTTACGGGCTCCGCAACCCCCGTCATCCGCCGTTTGGTCTCTGCGGACTCCGATAATTTGACCAGTACAAGCAGTACGTGAACAAATCCCGTGATTTGCTGAGTGTGAATATTATCTATTTAAAATTTTTCATAATACAATTAATTAATTATTGTTATTTAGTCTGAAAACAGCTTTACGGTACGTTAGGGTTAGGGTCTACGGTGGGTCTGTCTTCCTTGTTTATTGTGTTATGAATCTGTTGTCTTCATAACCCAACATAGCTACCGACGGAAGAATACAGTAAATCGCGAGCGAAGAAGATATCGAAAACCATGGCGACAGCACGATTGATATCGACGACTACGATCCAGGCAGCTGCAGCCGCTGATGGCAACGAACCATTTCCACGAGTCGAGTTAACTCCATGGGATCTTCAGCTTCTCCTCGCAGGTCCCATGCAAAAGGGATTCCTTCCACAACCCTGCAAAAACCTCCTTTCCCAACTTTATCCACCACTTGAAGACCTCGCTCTCCCGTGCTCTGGACTTCTTCCCTCCTCTCACCGGCCGTTTAGTCTCCACCGATTACGACGATGGCACGACGTCGTACTATATCCAGTGCAACAATAAGGGAGCCATGTTTGTTCATGCGGTGGCTGATGGGTTAACCATGGCGGACATTCTTGAGTCTGTCTACGTTCCTCGTCTTGTTCGTTCTTTTTTCGCGTTAAACGTGGTTTCTAACTATGAAGGAACTTCTCGGCCATTGCTTGCAGTGCAGGTGACGGAGCTTGAAGATGGGATCTTCGTAAGCTTGCTCTATAAACCATGCTGTCTCTAATGGGACGTCATTTTGGCATTTTTTCAACTCGCGGGCTGAAATCTCTCGTAGATTTGATCAAATCACCAAGCCTCCGATCTTCCATCGCTCGTTTCTTGACGGTCGGGTTGACTTCCCCAACCGTCTAAACAACCGCCTCCTACGAACCCACAAAGAACAGGATCACGACTGTGTCTTACCGTCCGCACTGAAAGAAAAAAAAAAACTTCCATTTTTCACAAGAAAACATTGCGAGACTCAAAGCGCAAGCCAACGCCGAGATCGGCACAACCAACAGGATCTCGTCCGCGCAAGCACTCTTGTCTCACCTCCGGCGATCTATAATTCGAAACGGGAAGCTCGACCTCGATGAAGAAACCAGTTTCGCCATACTGATGGGGACCAGGTCAAGACTCGAGCCGCCTCTGACAGAACAGTACTTCGGAAACGCAGTGCAGGGTAAGTATCTGACATTAACAGTGAGCGAGCTGCTTGAGCGGGGACTAGGCAACGTCGCCCATGAAATGAACAAGATCATCGCCAGTTTCAGCAAGGATATGCTGAGGAGGTTCTCGGAATCTTGCGTAGAAAAGCTGGAAATGGTGTCGGCTTCTGGCAACAATACGAAAAAGAATATGCTTTACTCGAGCAGTTCGCCGAGATTTAATATATATGGGTGTGACTTTGGGTGGGGAAGACCGGTGGCTGTGAGAACAATATGAAAAAAACATGTAGTATTCTCCTGTATTACTTATATATATATATATATATATATAATACTCATTCAAATATTTGACTAGCTTTTGTCTTTGTGACAAAAGAACATAAAAGAAAAAAATAAAAGTTAGTCTTAGTCATGTATTCTTCTTATTATCTTTGTATAATGCACCATTTAAATTGCTAATTAAGTGGGTATTAGAGATAATTGAATTTTGTACAGTAGATTTTAAAAGTATCGTTAAAATAATTGTTCGTTAAAAATATTTTGTATTTAATATAAATAATTGTAAAAAAAATTTATCTTTTTAGAAAAGTAAAATCTATATGTTTGTTGAAATTAATTTTTAAAATTTTAAGTGTGGGTTGCTAGTAAAACTCAAAATTATTTTATAAAAACTATATATTATAATTTTTAACTTTAAAACTATAAAAAAACAAATCTTGTTACCAAAATCACTTTATATTTTAACTGTTTAGTTACGAAATTATTTTAAAAATGTACAAATTTAAGTCAAAAGTTGAGCCAAGTACCTCGTTAGTTTTGTTCATTATAAACTACAAAAGATAAAGAATGAATATCTTACGATAACAATTCTTCGGGTATTATAAGTATTATTTATTTTAACTATAACACGTCTATACGATTTTGCTATTATATAAAACATCATTGAAAAAATTTTAATAGATTCCTTCAAATATTTATTTTATTATAAAATAATATAAAAACAACTCATATTTGATATAGATAATTTTACAAGTATTTTACAGTTAAAAAATAATTACTTATTATATATATTGTATATAAATCTCAATAAAATATATTTTAACTCAAGCATATTAATATACATTTATATGAAATTGAAGACTTTTAATAAGCAATTATAAAAGATGGAGTGCAAGTACGGTCTTATTTGTTGACCAGCAACCTAGATAGACAATAAAACGAATAACTATTTATTATAAACAAACTAATTAACTAATTTTGCTAAACTTGGTGTTTGTATAAAATGTATAACTATTATTATTTTACCACATGTTTTTATGAAAATCAAATTCGAATTCAATTATGCGGCTCGTGTATTTTGCTAAAATGTTGTTTTATTACTAGTTTCCATTATTATTAGTATATTTATACTAATTAATAAATAAAATATATGACTTTTAACTTAATAAATTATTAATAATAAATTTACGATATATTTAATTAAAAATATATGCTTTATGACAAACACAACATCACTACTCTCATATGGAGTGTATATGCCATTAACATTGGTAAAAATTGTATATGTTTTTTGAATTAGATCGTGTTATTTCAAAATTCGTCAGTGTTCTATTTAGTACTTCAAAAAATTAATTTACTATCGGGTCTGCTTTGTTTGCTATACTCTTACTCTTCATACACATCTAACAACTTCCTCAATGAATGTTTTGGTAAATATGATTTTTTTATGATTGAGGTTTGTTCATTTTTATGTAAGTACGTAACTCAATGATAATTTTTTTGACTTGTCAAATTATTAACGAACTAAAATAATTATATGTTTTGGTATAAATAATCATTATGTGATATTTTACAATGAAATTTGTTGATTATGATTGTTTAAATAATTTAAACAGTATATTTCAATATGATAGTTTATGACAAATGTGTTTTTTTATCGATAACGATGATCTCTAATTAAATCAGCTAAATTCATTCTTCGTACATGGTTAAATCAGCTTTGCTATGTATATAATATTTGTTGTTTTAAAAACTTAAAAAGACAAGTTAATGATCGAGAGTTACGATTGTTTTAAAGGGTGAATCTTTTTCATTATAAGGTATTTTTGTTATAAAATATGTAGTATTATATTCGAATTACTTTTGTAATTAAATGTTAATAGACATTGATATACATCAAATATAGATAGATATAAAAAATAAAAAAAAACATAAATTTCATATATTATAAAAGTAAAATATATAGATAAATTGTTAACATATTTTATTATTATATATATATATATTTAAAAATATATAGCTCACGGAAGATTCATGCATGGAATTATTATATTTGAATTCCACTCATACAAACTTAAAATTTAAAATATAAATTTTGTAATTAAGTAGTATGTTAATCTACTATTCCGAATAACATACTCATAGACGATGTATTAATTATTGTATAATAAATATATTTTATTTAAATTTATAATAAAAACTCTCATTTATGAAGACAAGCTATTAAATTAACTATTGATTTAAAAATTACATTAGTTTTAGTACTTTGAATGTGAAATTATTAACACTAAATCAACTAATTGTTAATAATGACAACGTGTTATAAAAAATTAAAATTAAAATACCTTTTAAATAAAATAAATAATTTAATACAACAAATGGTCCTAAAGTTACAAATATATAATATAGTATATAATATAATAATTAAAATATGAAAAAATCGTAATTTTTTATTGCAACCTTTTTATGGTAGCTTACACAGTACAGATTTCAAATGGGTCTGCCACGTTTACTTTTCCCCCCAATTTTATTTTTCCATCCTTCAGCGAACGAACTCACGCGTCTAGAAACTCTCTGGTTCCCAACATATATAAAATATATTTTACATTAAAATTATTTTTTTAACTAAAACACCCAAAAAAAAAAAAAAAAAAAAAATAAAAACCAAACCAGCCCCATTTAATTTGGGTTTTAACTGGGAGATAGAGAGAAGAACAATGTTCTTAGGGTTTCAAGCTTGACCCGCCAAATCCTCTCAAAAAACCCCTCATCTGCATTTCCTCTGCATGAATCGGATCTTCACAGGGACATCCGTCCGGAATTCCTGCGGTATTCTGTTTCCTCTCCGACGACAATGGCGTCGAAGGTATCGCCATCTGCCTCGGCGAATAGATCGGACCCAACCAAGGAATCTTCCGTGCGGAATTTCGCTTCATCTGTCTATTTCTCTATAGATATTTCTCGACATGTGCCTGTCTAAATTGCGTGATCAATGAATTATTTATCGCCGATTCATAATTTGTTCATCGTGAATGACTTTTTCTTTGGTTTTGTTTTTTTGGCTTATTTGTTGACTAATCGTTTTCTCAGAACTCGCGGTAGCTTGGATATGTTTCGAGATATCCTTTTTTTTTTTTTTTAATGCGTGTCTCTACTTACGCAGGGTTAATGTGCTTATATAGATGAGGGAAGATACCTGCATTGCATGCTTTGCTACTGCTTTAGGTTTTGGGGTCATCACCAACCATTTATGCGTTGAATTGTATGAGTGTCAGTGAAATTCTGGACAATTTGGCGTATGGTTTAAGTAAACAACTTTTGATTAAATGTACCTAAAAAAATAAAGGTTTTGTTGGAGCTAGGCCTCGAGGAAAAGAAAGGATGAGCATGTTTTTGATTCATTTGAATATTAGATTGATATGATCAATGTATAGCTGGGTTGGCATAATTTCTAGGTTTACCAAATGATGGCCTTTAGTGGAAGTAAATGAATGTAGAGAGATAAGAAAATAAAATAATTGCGAGTGGGTGGAGAACATTTGCATATTTAATTTTATCTTTTTAGAAATCTATAGAATTTATATTTTCCCGCATGTTGTGTCAGAAACAATAGATTGGTTGCTAATCTGTGTGATGCAGGATTAGAACATAAAACAAATTTCATATTTCATGTCTGAGTTTTGTTTTGAATTTTGATGGTGAATTAGATAATTGGTTTGTAAGTCTTGTCATCACTTGTGTTGGGAATCACTGTTTCCTCCAGTGACGACTCTCTTAACTACTCTATTTTTGTATCAGTTCAATTCATGGTGGCTTTGTTTCAAATTCACTTATTGTGTACCTATTCTGCAGTCTATATGATTATACAGGGTTTATGGTTATTTGACTCTGATTACCTAATTTGAACAGATGACACAACATCAAGAAAGAACTCCAACTAATAAGGAGATTTTGTTGGTCATTGATTCTCTAAAGAAGGAAGTTGGAGCGGATCGTGGTGTTTATATAAAGGTGTACTTAAGGAGATCTTAGTAGTTGTTAATTTTAACTATATGCCTTTATATCCCGTTTTTTGCATTATTATATGTGCATATATATGTGTTTATTTTTATTCAGAAAAGAATGGAACAAACTGGAAAATGCTGGTTGGCACCACCAACATCTTTACGATTACCAATGGAGAAAGAGGCATTCCGATGAGTTTGGACAACTATGTGGATCTGTTGGCTAAGACAAATGATTCACTTGATTTAAAAGTGGCGTTGATGCTGGTACGGGGATAAAGATAGCCATAGTTCCCAAGAAGATAGCCATGCTTGTTTGGCAATCCAAGGCTCTAGTATTCCAGTCAAGAATGCTGTTCGCCCCATCAAACTTCCAGAAGTGAAAAGATTACCACTTTATACTACTTGGATTTTTTTGGATAGGTGTGTAAAGACTTCCGTTTGTTTCTAACTCAGTTGAGATTGATTTAGCCATTTTTACATATAAATGCACAAAAAAGTTCAGTTAGTGACAGAAAGAGAAACATGTGCAAGTGTGGTTCATATAGCAACAATGAGCCTAAATGAAGTTTTGGAATTTCCAATCCTGCATTTAGTTATGGACCGTGATACCTTCTTCCTGGAATAAAAGAGAAGAGAAATTCTGAATGATTCTCAATATCTGAAGGATGAATATTTACCCATCACATAATAACCCACGTAATAGTAGTGATTCTAAAATACAGTTACATCATGAAGATGCTAAAATCTATCCATGCATCATTTCCACTTCTCATGATCTTCTTTATTCCCTTTTGAACTCTTTCCCTTTTCTCTTGACCTTCAAGTTCCTTGTGCCTACAGAAAGGAATCTTTGAACCATCAAATATAATAATGAGTCAGTATTAGCAGTTATAAATAACTGATGGTGCTAAAACTTTTTTGAAATAGTTATGCAATGAAGAATTTTCTTCAGATAGTTAATCACTTTTTAGGGATATGTAATACTTCCCTATAACAAAAACTTTTGGGTGGCATGTTGAAGCTATCTTGATTCTTTGATTAATTTTTGCCACGTCCTTAAATATTTCATAGTAATTAATACTGGAGAACCTTTGCATTTTTGCCTCAAATAATTCCATTTTCCTCACTTGGCATATGCATGGTCACAAATGTGGTTTGCTTTTTGCATCATAACTATTCACAATATTTCAGGGATTTGGAATATTCTTATTGCTGACACAAAGTATGCGTTTTCTCTTAGAATTGGAAGATAATTCTCACAGATGGATTTTTACCGATATCATATTTATATTGTTTGTTTTGCTTGTCAATTCATTGAATTCAAAATAAATCTTGTGCAGAAATCAAAGAATGACAGAGGATCAATCAGTGGTTGGCCGAAGGAGAATTTATTATGATCAAAATGGTGGTGAAGCACTTATTTGCAGTGATAGTGAGGAGGAAATAATTGAGGATGAAGAGGAAAAACGAGAATTTGCAGATTCTGAAGATTCTATTCTTCGGTTGGTATAATCAAATTACATAAAACTTTTTGTGTTCTTTTGTTTGTTTGTTTTATATTCTTTTTGAATATATTTGAAGTATGAAGGGCTGTTTTTATCATATAATTGGTGGTGCACAGGTCCTTGCTGAAATTTCCCTTGTTTCTGAAATGCATAGAACACAAGTGTTTATAGCTTCTGTAATATAGACTATCTGAGCTGCAAAAACATGCGTATATGAGGATCAGATTTTTCACCTTGTTGAAGGTCTAGTGGTGCTAATATGAAGACTATAAGTCATCTGTCAATGTGGAGTGAAAAGAACATGATGTCGGATAGGTAGAAGAAGTTGTAATCCTTGGCTTGATTGATGAGTGAAAGTTGGCAAGATAAAAGAATACATTTATAGAATTACTATATAGGATTAATTCTTGACCCTTGATATTTTGTGCCTCCAATGAGGAAGATTTATTCTCAGTTGCAACCTAAGAGCCACTTTGGATATAATTTTTGTTTCAATTCTAGAACACAAGGTTCATATTAACGCATATAAGACATTTGATCTAACAATATGATGGAGAGTGGATGTGCAAAATAGACTTTCACTCATAGTTTCTTATTGTTTGATTTAAAATTTTATTTAATTTAGAAAAGTTATCCTTCTTTTACTGACATATAAATAGAGAAGTGAATTGAAAAAAGTTGAATTGTATTTGTTGCTTCAACTCATTTAGCCACTAGCAAGAATGTGGTGGTGGTGGTGGAGGTCTACAGGGAGGAGGATGGTAGGAGTGGGTGGAACCTTATCTTGGCAAGGAACCTCAATGACTGGGAGATAGATGAGTTTATGACACTTCTCCAGTTATTGTCTAATGTACATTTATGTGACACCATGGATAGGGCAATGTGGAAGTTGAAAAAAGATGCCAAATTTACTGTCAAGTCGTTCTATGAGCATTTGGTTTAAAGAGGTGGACATGGTGTGAGATTTCTGGCTATGCAGAGTTGGAAAGCGAAGGCTCCCCTGAGAATTGCCTTTTTTGCCTGGGAAGCTAGTAGGGAAAGCATTTTGATAATAGACAAGTTGATGAGAAGGGGCCTCACTACGGTTAATGGATGTTATTTGTGTGAAGAAGCGGCTGAACCATGCAATCATCTCCATCTTTGGTGTCTGGTAACATATAGTTTGTGACATATGGTTTATGGGTTAATGGGCATCAATTGGGTAGTTGTGGAAACGGTTAAGGATGAGCTTTGGGCGTGAAATGGGATTTGTAAAAAGTCAAAAGCTGTAAAACTTATTCCTTTAACTATTTTTTAGGTGGTTTAGAAAGAGAGGAATTACAGAGCATTTGATGGGTGTGAGAGGGACTTGGGAAGAATTAGAGATAGGTGGATACATACTTTTGGGTCTTTGATTCTGAAGCATGATTTACTTGGGTGGAATGATTCTGGGAATGTTTTTGATGTTTTAACTGAATTGTAAATTTGGTAAAAGGGCAACAATTCCTTGGTGCCTATACTTAACACATTATTTTTTATCTAAAAAAAAATATTTCTTGCTTCAACTCATGAATTAGAAGATATGTTTTTTAGTTATATTAATTCGAAGGAAATATAATAAAGAAGACAATGAGTAAAAGAAATGAAAGAATAGACAATGACTAAAAGAAATGAAAGAATAATAAAGTATACAATCAAAATAGTTGATGCATATATAAACTAATGGAATATAGAAAAATCTTTATTTCTCTCAATCTCACAAACAAGATCCAAGAATAAGATCAGTTAAATTTTCTGCTTGGGTTTACCAAATTTACTTGTGATTGAAGTATCATTTATCTGGTAATCATCTGATATATATCTTTATTCAACTACTGCTGCATAACTTTGCTTACCAATTTCCAGCATGACCATTAAAGAAGTCGGCCTATCTGACCCTGTGTTAGAATCATTAGCACAATGTTTTTCTAGAAGCTCGAGTGAAGTTAAGGTACGCGCTTGCAACTTCAAAATTTCCTTGTTTTTTCTGAGCTGTATAAATTTTTGTTTATACTTGATATTTCTTCCATCTAGTATCTAATGTAACCTGGTCATAGTGTAAAGCTTTGGTCCAGCTGTTTCCCATTTGCTTTGTGCTGGCTTTACAGAGATATGAAACACCGTCAAACATCTTATACAGGCCAGATATGAATCTCTTGTTGAGGAAGAGAAGGGCTCAAAGAATGGGGATAATGAAGCACAAGCTATGAATTCCTTTCTTGAGAAGGATCTTGAAGTAGCTCTGGATTCCTTTGACAATCTTTTTTGTCGTCGATGTCTCGTAGGCAGCTTTCTTCTTATACATTCAATATGTAAAATACTTATGGTTTCTTCTTGCAAGGTGTCTGGTGCCTCCTTTGTCAATCAAGTCTGGTGATTTTGTCTGTGTTGGCAGGTCTTTGATTGCAGGCTACATGGACGTTCTCAGGATCTTGTCTTTCCTGTAAGTTAATCATTTAAGATTCTTGTCTTTCTTCTAAGTTAATCATTTAAGAGTGATTTTTAAATCGTCCTACTTTGCCTCCTAATCTGGAAATGTAATTGGCATTCTTTATTGTTAGGCTGAGAAGCAACTGTCATGGAGCCATCCAAATGATGAAAATGCACCATGTGGTCCTCGTTGCTATCAAATTGTATGTTTTTGGTACTCTGGCATTGTGATGGACATAGTCTGTTCATCATATTGAATAACTGACTAGCAAAACACTTACAAGTGTCTTCAAACGGATTCATTTCAGGTTTTAAAGTCAGAAACTGCTATAATGAACTCTCCTGGACATGGTGATAGCGAAGAAAAACCTGTTCCTTCATCTGATGGTACTGTGCCTCAGATATTGTGTAGAAAGAAATCTTCTGTTTCATCTGCTAGGAGGAGGCTGAAATCTTACCAAAGTGAAAGTGCTTCATCAAATGTAAAAAACACGTCAGAAAGTAGTGATTCAGACGCTGGGCCTCATCAAGAGACAGTTTCTACTGAACACCTACCATCCCCCAAGGCTAAGCTTGGTGGAAAATGTGTGAATCGAAAGAGAAATAGCAAGAGAGTTGCTGAACGTGTTCTAGCTTGCATGCAGAAAAAGCAGAAGAAGATTGTGACATCTGATTCTGATTCCATTGCCAGTGGAGGTCTTTCTCCAAACGATATGAAACCTAGATCTAATTCTCGCAGAGAAAGTGAGGATGCTACTTCTTCTTCTCATAAGCATATGAAGCCAGGAAGCAATGGAAAGTCTAGGAGGAAAGAGTGGTTGGTTCAGGACAATCACAATTCGATGCAGGATGAGGTTCATCACAGTCCTTCAAATGAAATGGTTACTGACCCACCAGCAACTAGCAGCAATGATACTTTTAAAAAAGAAGAGTTTGTGGATGAGAACATATGCAAACAAGAATCAACTGATGATAAAACTTGGAAGCCTATTGA